AAAAAAAAAACACCTTAATAGAAGCCTAAGGTATACGCGTATTATAGGTAATTGAAAGTTATAGTTAATTTGAGGGCTAATACAATTTTTACGTCCAAAAAAAAAAAACAGCGAGCTAATGATATTGCATGTGTAGGGAAACACTCACTCGGATCTGAGTCACAGGAATGTAAATCCATAAATTTGGTAACATCTACTAAAATTTTAAAATGCACATATTGTTTAACACAGCAATTCCACTTCTAGAAATGTATCCTGCAATTAAAATTCCGTATTTTATCCAATGAGATGTATGTAGATGTTAATGCAGCATTTGTAAAAGCTAAACGTTAGAAACTCTGAAACTGTCCATCAACAGAAGACTGGTTAGAGCAATCACGGACGGGCATAAATATGGAATCTCACCAAGTTTTGGAAAAAAATAAGGCAGTTCTACTTACAAATACTACTAGAGAACAATCTCCAAGGTTACAAAGTTAAGTGCAAAGGCAAGGTTTAAAACAATTTGTGTAGCATACTAACATTCCTATTTTTAAAAAGCATACATACATCCTGGCATGTGCTTTTAAAGAAATAACCAAGAAAGCAGCAGCTTCTCTCCAGGGAGACAATGGGGGGATGAAGGGTCAGAGCTTTTTACGGGTCTTCCCCGGCCACCACGGGAGACAGGCCCTCAGAGCTGCATCGAAAGACTGTTCCCAGGGGGGCCTCTTCTCACCCCACAGGGAGGCCGCAAAGAACAGCCAAGGGGTCCCAAACCTTGCAGAGTTATCTGGGCATACGCTTTCCCCCAGGAAACCCTCGGGAGGCCTGAGAAGCCAGCTCACAGCCTCCTGGACCTCATTCAGCACGAGGGCCCACCGGTGACACACAGACCCTGTCCCATAGTGTCCACACGTCCACCTGCCTGACCCCCACCCTGCTGGCTGCTACAGCGCATGGTCCATCGTCATGACGCTGCTATACACTCACCCTCCCTGTTCGCTTCTTCCGTCTTCCTGCCCAATGAGAAATCACCAGTGTCCCCCACGTGGCAAGTCTAACGGTTACTTCTCCTGACCCCCGGACTCTTGCCCCTCTGAACCTGCCCCGCCCTGCAGGCTCTTCCTCCCTCCCCACCGGCCACCCTTCTCAGGCCTCTCCGCTCCGCTCCCTGTACGTGCTGGGTCCTGGGCCCCCGCGTGTTGGACTGCACCATCTGCCCAGCTGCCCTCACCCCACGACTCCAGACACACACGTGTGCGGCCGCCCACCCCCTGGCTCCGCCTCTGTCAGCGCTCACAACGCTTCACCTCAACCTTCTCAAGAATCGGATGTGAGTCCAGCACCTTCCGCGCTGGCTTCTCCCCCAGGACCTGGCATCTCCAGGCGACCAGCTGCTCGGAGGCCCAACCTCCTTCTCCGCTCTTCACCCCGTCCTTCCTCTCGAGCAGCGGCTCTCAGCGCGTGGTCCCAGGACCAGCCGCGTCACCGTCACCTGAGAACTTGCGAGAAACGTCCATCTTGTGCCCACCCCGCCCCCCAAGACCTGCACAGTCAGGAGGGGGCCCAGCGATTTGTCTAACGAGCCCTCCGGTGGCCGTGCACAACCTGGACTCCGAGAACCACCCGCTCCAAAACACACCTCCATTGACCACTGTCTGCCCGTCCCCATGACTGCCACCCTCTCCCGGCTGCCCCCGGCCTCCGTACTCACCTCCTCACCATCCGCTCTGCACGCGACGGCCACCGCGCGCTTTTCAAAGACTGAAGCACATGTCGTCCCCGCCCCGCTTAAAACCCTCCCCAGGCTTCACTCTCCAGAGGACAAAACCTGTCTCCTCATCCACTCCGGCCTCTCTCCAGCCCCAGCTCGGTCCGCTGGTTCACCTCCACCCTGCGGCCACGAGGGCCAACGTGCAGCTCCTCGGACACGCCAAGCGGCCCCCCGGCGCCATGCCCGCCCCGTGCCCAGGACCCCCATGCCTCGGCATTGAAGCTCCAGAGGGGCCTGCCCTAGCCGCCGAGACTCGCCACCGGTCAGCCTCCGTCACGCTGCCCCGCTCCGACCCTCCACTGGGCACTTCCGGGCCTCGTCCCGTTCCTCTGTCTCCCCCATGAGGTGTGAGGTCCCAGGGGACAAGGGCCCTGTCTGCCACGACAGCTGCGGGGTTTCAGTGGAACGCAGCCTGGCACACAGCAGCTGCCCCATAAACACTGCTGAATCGAGGAAGGAGGTTTGTACTTAAAGAACAAACGGAAAACTGCTCTCTCCTTCACCAGGCCGGGCGGAAGAAGAGAGCCAGCTCGAGACGCCAGGGCGGCCGGAGAAGCAGGCCCCCGGCGGTGGGATGGCGGAGGCGCTGCCAACTCCGAAGCCGTGAGATCCCGGCTGCCCGCGTGTCTTCGGGAGCCGCCTGTCTTGGGGGGCTGGGGCCACAGCCTCCAGCTAGCACCCGAGGGGGGCTCGTGGGAAAGGCGAGGGCAGGTCTGCTGCCCGCCGGCGCTCCCACCCCGACCAGACACCCACCCCAGGATCGAGGGCAGACACAGACAAGGAGCCACCCTGGCCTGAAGTGTCGAATTAAATCTCAGCTTTTCCTCCCAGACACTCACCGAGGGGCCACTGCATGCCGAGGCCCCAAGGCCAGGAGCGCAGACTCGACCAAAGGTGGTTCTGGGAAGCCCTCCCGACAGGCACTGCGCATGATGCCCAAGGTGTGGCGTCTGTCGGGCCCGGGGCGGGGCAATGGGAGCAGAGGACAGGCCAGAGCCCCACCCCCACCCCCACCCCCCAGGGAGCAAAGCCTGCGGAAGCCTTTTTTAAGCCTTTTTTAAACCGGAGATTTTACTTCCAGAAGAACTGATCCAAAGACATAATGTCTAATGTCTAAACTGTCAAAGATTTATACACAGGGAGGTTTACGACAGCACCGCACTCAACCTAGAAGTTCAAACGTAGAAGGTCGCTCGTGGTACATTCATGCAACGAAATATGCTACAGACACAGCAAGAAGCCTATAAGTAAACTACGAAACAGTTGTAGGCACGGGGAGAGGCCAGGGGCATGAGGGCCAGTGGAGGGGAGGCCTTTCACCGTGTATGTATCTACTCTGTACTTTGCAAATCTGGTACCAAGCACAGAAAACTCCCCCAAATACTAAAGTCAAAAATCTTTTCAATCATTTATTTTTCATCGGGAAATGATAAAAGTCAGTTATAAAGCAGATAAAAAGGTAAAATTCTACCTTGATAAAAGCACACATGATTTATTTAGATGTATTCATCCATGTCCAAAATAACACGCAAGGATATTCAGCAGAACACAACCAGTGGTTACCTCTGATTGACAGGATTTGGGTGATCTTATTTATTTTTGATTCTCTGTGTTTGTACATGTTTCCACTGTAATATCAAATATATATCCAAAAATACTGGGTTGGCCAAAAAGTTCATTTGGGTTTTTCCATAACATCTCACAGAAAAACTCAAACAAACTTTTTGGCCAACCCAATATAAAGGGGGGAATGACAGCTGGGTGACAGGGGAAAGCATACGGCCCGGGAGGCCCCCTGCACCTGGCACCCTGTAAGCCCCACTCACGACACCCACCTTGAGGAGCTTGAAGCGAGAGGCGGGAACAATGAAGTGTCTATTCTGCTTCTTCTTGCAAATACTGCAGCTACAGAAAGACAAGAGCAGACCTCGGACTGTGAACGACCACCTGCACCCTCTGAGTTCCCCCCGGGGCCCAACCTGCCCCGTCCCAGGAGCCAGCTGACCCTTGAGGTGAAGCCCCTTGCAGCGCCATCCCAGGAAGGGCAGCTGGGGCAGGAGGGCCAGCGGCCTGGGGCCTCTGCTCTGTGTGTGCAGGAGGGCCCACGGATCCCACAGCCAGCAGTGCAGGCCACGCACCCCTCAGGAAACCAGGACCTGGAGAACCACGCTCCTGCCGCCCACCCTTGGTTTACTACGGTGAAGGGAACTGCTGGATTCTGGAGACAGTAGAAAGCCCAGCTCCATGCCAAGCCGGTCCTCAGAACCACATCCTCAGAATTAAATACAAATCCCCCCCGCCCCGTTTTAGTCCACCTTTTAAAAAACTCTAATTTCGTATAAAATCCTCTAACTTATTCCAGGGGCTGCTTCTTCAATCTGGGCTGCACTGTTTAGCAGCAGGGTCAGCTCCCCGTGGGAGGAATCCCACGGTATTTATTTATTCTTCACATGTAACTCAGGCACCACAGCACCAAGGGGCAAAAGGACTGGATACTGTTGCATAACCAGTTACACACCAACTACGGGTCAGACAGAAGTCAGAGCCTGGAGACCCTGTTCTATCACAAGGCCTGGGAGGTGCTGACAGCAGGCGCTCCACCGATCCTGGCAGCACTGCCTGCCTCACCTGGAGCAACGGGGCCAGGTGGCCTGGGGCATGGCAAGCTTCCAGGTGCGTACGCCCTGACCTCACCTCACCTCACCCAACTCCCGAAGACTCTGCTCAAGGCCTTTCATTCAGTGCCCAGCCGCAAGGTCTCTGGGGAAGCACTCCCACCGCCAGCCCCCAGCCCCTGCACCGGTGTCTCTGGGGCACTCTGCTGGGCACAAGTCGAGGGCCCTGCTCCACAACCCCTGGGGCTGTGCTGCAGGACTGAGCTGTGTCACACACAGCAGGCTGTTATTTTTAGCCTCCCCCAGTCTTTAAAACCTTTTTCATTAATGAAAACATCTAACACAACTTCTAACGTCTAAGCAACTTGGGAAGAGAAAGCACTCACTTGCAGTCAAAGATGTGCAGGTCTGCCGAGGCCCAGACTTCAAAGCGAACCGCCCCACAGTGGCAGCCTCCTGTGTGTTTCACCAGGCCCTGGTATTCACTGAAGGGAACACAAATCAGGAAGATGAGGGTTTCTGAATAGTCAGGCCATGGTTGAAAGAAAGAAGCAAGATGGGACAGAAGTCTTTACGGGACAACCAGATGCGTTCCTGCTTCTGAGGAGGCACTGTCAGTTTTATAAAAGGATTCAGTACCTTCTTTGTATGTGAGCTCTTTTTTCCACTTCTATTTTGTTAAATTGTAAAATAAAGCATTCCAAAGTATGGAAAAAAGAGAATTGGGTGGAGGATCCTAATCCAGCCACCCGAACGTTTTTATTTACATGGCAAATACTTATTAAGATTTTTTACAAGCGAGGCACTGGGGAGAAGGCAGTAAACAAGATACAGCAGATGTGGTCCGGGCCATAGGGACCTGGAGCAGCCATCAAACAAATTAACTGAATATTTACATGACTTGTGATAAAGGTGTACAGGCCGCCATGAAAAAGAAAGGAGACCTGACGAGTCCAGAGAAAGTTAACAAAAGGCTCCTGTAATTCTGCTGTATTCTCCTCCGGTATTTTGCATATACGTGGTTTTTTACAGAGCTATCCGTACACATTACGTACAACTTGAATCTTTTTAAAACTTGTAAGTCAGGCCCTTCGTTGAACATTAAGATTTGATAAATATCATCCAACTGCTTTCCAAAAGGGCTGAACACTCTTATCAGTAATGACTGAGAAAACATTTCACTGAATCTTCTCAAGCAATAATTACAGGAAAAATAGCTCGCTGCAGTCTTATTGTGCATTTATTTGGTTACCAAGACTGAATGCTTTCTCACGTTTCTGTACAAGTTGACTCCGTTAATTTGATATATTTTTTTCTGCAGACACAAATAATGCTTATGGTAAAAAACGCAAACATTACAACATTTGATAACGTAAAAAATGAAAGTCTCGTAAGTCCTAACACCCAGAGGGATCCACAGTTAACTGTTTGCTCTATGTTCCTGAGATTATTTTCCGTACAATAATGTTTTAACAATAACATCGATTATTGTTTAATATATTTTTAATTTACTGAGTTTTGGTTTTTTAACAAATGTATGTAACTTGTGCTAATCTGATAAGTTAAAAAAAAATCTCACCCTTTCATGTCAACATTTTAAAATCTTTTTCTTGGCCATTTATCAGTTTGTTTTAAAGTATAAATTCAAACTTTCGTTCTACGTTTCTGACATCTTTATATTCCCCACACTGAGCAGTAGCTGGCACACCTTAGCTCAAAAACACTGAATGATGATGTATACTGAAAAATGTTCAGCCTATAGTCCAAGATGATGAACCAAAAAGTGAAGCACACGGAAAACACAATATTCCATCTCTGAGAAGACTCGTCCTAATGAAGAGAATTTCTTACAGAACAAGGACAAAGGAACATTTTTGCTCAAGAAAAGGAGTAATCCTCAGGTTGCTATGCAATTGTTAGGTTGCTTTGTTTTCTCTTGGGTTTTCTAGCATAAGACGACTGATTCTGAGATATTTAGGGCGCTAAACTACTCGGTAGCACAACTGTGCTACGGGGCAGGGGCCCCGTCTGGAGACGACGAGGCGCCCCCCAGGGCTAACAGCTCACTGCGAGCTCCACGGACCCTCCGAAGTCCTCCTCCGGCCTCCGGGGAGCCGGGGGTCCGCGCCCCGCGGCGGCAAACCCGGGGGACGCGGAGCCCCGGCCCTCGGGCCCCCGCAGCGGTTCCGAACCCGAGCGGCCCGCGCGCTCCTCCTCGCCGCCCGGCTCCGCGCAGGGCGCGCGCAGTAACAGGGGCCACTGGCCTCCCGGGTGGCTCCGAACTGTCCCAGCGCCTCTCACCCCGGCCCTGCCCCCCACAGCCGCTCTCTAAACACACGTGCGCAAACACAAAAGCAGCTCGGGGACCCGAGAGCCGGGCCGACCCTCTTCGCGGGAAGGCCGCCGCCTTGGCGCGCGGCGCTGGCCGAGCAGGAAGGCCTTTGTCCGGCCGGTGCACGGCTCGGGCGCCGCGGGGACGTTACAGGCGCCGGCCCGGCCGCGCCGCACTCACTAGGTGTCCAGCAGCAGCTTGGCGGCGCCCTCGAAGCTGAGCCTCTGCCGCTTCTGGAACGTCTCCCAGCGCTCCCGCTGCTCGCCCAGGTCCAGCTCGGACGCCGAGGGCGCCGCGGGCGCAGGCGGGGGCAGCGGCGGCTCCGGCGGCGGCTCTCCGGGGCCCGCCTCCTGCGCCCGAGGCGACGACTGCGGCCGCCGCTTGGCCGACGGCTGCCTCGCCGCCGCCCGGCTCCCGCCCCC